ACACTCCTAGGACGGAGCAGGCCTGGCATACAAACGTGATATAGAGAGGGTTACTCGAGGGATAATTCAATTTGAAACAACTGTCATCTTGTTCCGTTCTGACTGTTCCGTTCTGAGATAATGACAGCTGTCCTAATCAAAATGTATGAGGAGCTTAGCCGCCGCCGCGCTTAGCTCAAGCACGCAGCCACGCCTACCGCATCTCAGGGATTTTGAGCGTAACTTTCCAGTTGTGAAGTTTCGCTCGTTCAATGCAGTCTACTCCCTTCAGTCCCAGGGAATGCTACGCCCCTCAGCAGACCCTCTCCACTTTATCACGGTGTTGAGCTGCGACTGAGAAGGCTCGTAGTGATATAGGACTCACCTAGCCCAATAATCTCATTCAAGCACTCTATACGAGAGGCGGTCAGGTGGTACGGCTGGCATTAGCGCTAGAGCGCACTGGCCATGACTGCCACATCCACCCTCTGCATTGTTCTCGGTATAACTCGTCCCACCGCTCAAATTATCAGCTATGCTTTGCGAAGTCACTTTATTATAACTTGGTGTGTCGGCTTGTAAGTGCGTCGGTCTGCTTGTGAGAGCAACAGAGATAGGAGACTGTCAACACGCAGGCGAATGACTAGCCGACCTTCTGATGGCCAAATGTGGCTCAAAGCCTGGCTTCATCGAGATGCAAAAGGTCTATGAACTTCGTCATGCTCTGAATTGTCCCATATTCTTCATAACGGGTAGGATAGACATACAGAGCAAAAGACTTGCATGCCTACACAAACTTAGAGGTTTTGGATAGAGTGATTCCTCAAAACCTGATCAAAAATGTGAGTGGTGGGACGAGTTGTCCGGAGCAGAAGATGCAATACAGAGACACGCTGGTGGTGAATGACCAAAGCGCCCTAGTACTAATAGTACCCTCCGAGCTGCCCATTAGTTATTTCAGCGCACACATCATATTCTTAGTTCCTAAAGTATTGTACAAATTTCAGACCCCGAGGAAGAATAACTCATCATGTGGAACGAGTAATGTTCCCAATGGCAAGCTCTCAGCGTGCGCCATAGTGAGAGCAAAAGGCAGCGAATCTGAGGCTGATACTCCTTTGAAGAAGTCCTCGTCAGCCCCGTCGCTCTCTTCCAAAGTAATACTCATTTTTATTTACACTCGCCTAGCAGAGGGCACTTATTTTGCATAAGTTTAGATGAAAGTTGCTGCTTTTAAATTCTGGAGAGAACTTAGGCTGGTGCAGGTTTTCGTTCAGGTAGCGAGCACATTCGAGGAGATGCCATCGCCTTCTTGTTCTCTATCCAGCCCTCTTACTCCGGTCAGAACTTTTTATACCCATCCTGAAAGTGTTACGAAAAACAGTTCTAATGTCTTAACAGTTGAACAAATGTACATTTTCGTTCGTTGCAAATGAAAGGGTGTGTCAGGCGTGTCGAGATAGGAGCAACGACGTTCATGGGGTGTTATGATGTTAAAAGCCGTCGCAAAGCGAGAGGTAGTCGAGAGATCAGGCTTATTGGAAGCCGTGATCCCTTTACGACGTGGTCACATAACTCGCAAAGG